CTTGATATTTTGAAAGTTAGGGACAAATGATATATAGCAATTTCAATTTTTATTTGGGTCATATATTTATATTTTAGCCGAGTATGATAAAGATATGAATATTAGGCTCATTGGATAAGTCGTAATGAATTATGCACTTTAGGCTCGAGAAAAAGTGAATTTGGATTAGCAAAGCCAAAGATGTCGAGATTGAAAGATATTATTTGAATTGTATTTTAATTGAATTAATTGATGAGATTAGAACCTTAATGGCCGACACGTATAAGGCAAGTTGGGGGTAATTAATAATTGATTTTGTCAATTTAAGGAAGAAAATATTATAAAGATAAATTAAAGGAAAGAGAGAAAGTGTGCTACTTGTGAGATGTGTTTGTTTGTTTTTATTTTATTATATTTTATATTTTTTAGTTGGGATTGATTTGACAATGTGTGAGAATCTTAAAGTGATAGGATTTGGTCAAATTTAATTTCCAAAATCCCTATCAATTACCATATCCCACTCCCACAAGATTCCCACTCATGCACCAATTATCTAGGTTATTACTTGCTTATGTATGTAGGCACATGTATAGTAGAGGGAACACACATAAAAACTTTATTTATTCACGTAACACACAAGCAAAGGCAGAAAATTTGTTTGGAACGTGATTTTGGGTTTTCATCTTTCAAGAAGTTATTTAAATTAACGAGGTAGGATTACGAGGTGCAAGTGGTTTGTACTGTTTAAATTATTTCTTCATGTTGATAAATATTATGCTTATGAAAGTAATAATATGATATCATTATGATATGATAAGAAATGATCATCTGGTACCAAAGATATGATATGCTATGAGCTCTTGCCGGTTCTAAAGATATGATATGACGGTATAATATTTTTGACATATAATTTAATATTCTTATGTGGGATCGCACCATTATTCGTATCATACTGAGTATTATCATGTACTCATCATTTTTCCTACTTCTCACAGATTAGATCAGGTTATTGGATGACGGGCGATGAGGTACAGTCGTGGTGCCAAGATTTATGGAACTCAACATATTTAATCTGGTGTAACGAGACTAAATTTCTGTTTTCTTTTATTTTACATTAACATTTTATTTTGTTTGTTAAACATGAGATGCATGAATTTTTATTTTTTTTTTTAAAAAGGTTTTAGTGATTGGAAATTACTATGAGAAAGTTTATGAAATCGCATTAAATAGAATTTGATTGTATGCCCATAAACATAGTATTACGTGGTTTTGGCTTAATTAGCAACTAATTGATCATATATTAATTTGAATAAGTTTGGGCCAGAAACCATTTTTTTTTCCTTACCAGCACACTATCATAATTATGAATGTGTCTTGGGATTGCTCATATTAAAATGAATGAGATGAAGTTTTTGGTGACAACTCATATCTATTTTTACTGTAAATTTTGGGTCGTTACAAATATTATTTCTAGCACTTATGCAATTCACAATTCATAAATTACAGTGACAGAGAAGCAACAACTCACAGAGGCATGCAAGCAGCAATATTGGAAGGATTCTAGAAGTCTGGTAGCCAAATCAATTGTACAACAATGTGTATGCAGTAGACTTCGAGTAATTGAAGAGCATAGTACTAATTTCAGAAGTAAAAAAGTTAAAAAAATAAAATCAAACATTATGAGAAAAGCCACAAATCAAAATAACAAAAAATAAGAAAAGATTACCAAGGAATCAAGGATAACTATATAAGCTTCAAATTTGGGGTTAAGGGCTTCACCTTTTTCTTTTGCTGTTGTCGAAGAATGGCCATCGCCCAACAGTCACGGACACACTATCTAGGGCTTGAATAGGGAAGGAGGCAAGTAGGAGCAACAACGTGTTCAAGTTGAAGGAGTGGATAAAGGGTATGTGTTGTGAGAGAGCACGACAGCCGGGACTGGGGGGTGGGGGCAAAGGCGGAGGTGGAGTAGATGAATTGAAATGGGTATTGGTTTGAATTTTGGAATGAAATGGAATGGAGTGTGCCTAATGTACTGCCTTATTGGGTTGGAATGGTTTTGGGCTTCACTTCTAGGCTAAACATTACAATTACAGGCTAATCATTAAATTAAAAAAGGAAAAATTCATAAATAAGGTATTTACTTTACACCAATTCAAAAATCAGGTTTATAATTGAAAATTCAAAAATCAGGTTTTGTTTTTTTAATGAAATAATAAATTATTAAATCAATTTTATTATTAAATATTTAATTCTAATATAATATAATATAATTAACCCACCCCACATACCCCACCGATACCACTCCGGGAACTATTCCGACGACCATTCCGACCATCACTCTTTTCCGATGATTGCTCCAATTTCGGCAATTATTCCGACGACTATTTCGATCACAGATTTACAACTTCCGATCACAGCTCAAAAATTTTTGTAGGTCACAATTAATTCGTTGGTCACGGATTTCAAAATTAGTTGGTCACGGATCAAAATTTATAGCTCACACAGTTACAGATTTCCAAATTAGTTGGTCACAGATTTTTTTTGAAATCACAATTCAAAATTTTTAGGTCACAATTCAAAATTTTCATATGTCACAATTTATTTAT